TCCATCCTGGGTAATAGGGCAGGCAGTCAATGTCCCTATAAGTGACAGAGGAGCTGAATATGTATACATGTGAACACATGTATCTGCTCACCTTCCCCATGCTCGTCAGTATACTGGAAGGCCTGGACCAATCGCAGAGCCTCATCCACGGAGCGCCCCACAGGCAAATCATTAACAGTGATCTGACGAAGGACACCCTTGCCATCGATGATAAAGAGACCCCTGAAGACATCAGCATTCACAGTGAGGAGTGGGGTGGCTCCCACTGCCAGGGCCAGAGAAGAGACCACATAGGGCTGGGGGGCCCAGAGTGGTCTTATCCTCCAGATGGGGCCTCCCTGAGCTGGACTGAGGGTCTCACAGTACCTGTAGGCAATGCCTTCATCTTCTTTCAGCACGCCATAATCATGAGACAAGCTTCTAGTCACATCAGCAAGCAGAGGGATATTTAGGGGGCCTAGGCCTCCCTCCTTCCGGGGGGTGTTGATCCTGGAGGTGGAAAGACTGGGTTGGGACCTCCGGATGCCTAGCATAGTACAGTTTTCCTTCTGTGGGCCCTACTGTGATAAGGACTGGAGGCAAGAGATAGAGGCTTTAGAGCAGGACCCTGGAAAACCCCACCCACCCCACCCACCCCACCCTGGGGTGGGTACAAGAGCTGTTTCTCCACAGCTGGGAAGACTAGCTAGAGAGCTGCAGCTCACGCTAAGTGGCTTCATATATGCTGGTGACCACCGCCATCACTAAGGCTGTATTATAGTCTCTGTCCTCTTCTGACTATGTCTTGGGGCCAGCCCTTCACAGCCATGAACTGGAGTTTCTACCTTTGTGAAATAGGGCAACAGAGCCTTTCTCCTGAGAACTGAGATAAAGCATCTGCAACTCTATGTGCCATGCAACAGAGTTGCCAGATACTAATTACTGCCATCAGTTCAGGGCTTGGGTGGCAATATACATTATTTTCAGGTTGAAGAAAGGGAGGCCAAGAGGTGGAGCAATGGCTGTCCACAAAGCCACACAACTCAGATCCTATGGTAAGGGTTTAGTTGCATATTCCCTCCCTTTCTTTGCGGCCCCTACTCATACCAAGCCAAGTGGGTGAACTGAGAGTCCACAGAGACCCCCAGCACCTCGCAACCCAGCTTCCGGAAGTCTTCAGCATGATCGCTGAAAGCGATGATCTCCGTGGGGCACACAAAAGTGAAGTCCAGCGGGTAGAAAAAGAGGACCAGGTATTTCCCTGGGGAGAAAGAAAATGGAAGAGTAGTTAGGACCCAGCCCCTCTAACGCGTGGGCCCCACCCTCAGCACGGCAAGCTCCAGGCCGCCCTCACCTTTGTAGTCTGTCAGCTTCACCTCCTTAAAAGAGCCATCCACCACAGCTGTGGCTTTAAAGTCAGGGGCGGGTTTGCCGATGTGCGCATTGCCGGAGGCCATAACTGAAAGCTGAGACCCCAGCCCGGTCAGAGTGCCAAGAAAGACCTTTTGTTCTCCCTTCCCAAGGTCACGCGGCGTGCTGGGCCTGGTTACTGAGTCTGAATGGCGGAGGCAACAGCACTAGCCCTCCCCCTCCCTGGTATGAGGTCTGCGAGGCCCGGAGGCTGCCAGAAACCCACCGTCCTCACAAGAGCCCGAGTGACCCAGGCGCTGCCACCAGCATCCTATTAGCGAGTCAGCCAGAGCATGGTGGCGCAAGCCCCGAGTCCAGGAGAGAGCAAGGCCCTCGCGAGCAGGGGGCGGGGATCCCGGCGACCCGGCCTGTAAGCCAACGCGGTGGCCTCAGTTTCCCCCTCAAGGACAAAGGAGACCGGCGATGAGGTCAGCATAAGATTGAAACTGCTGGAAGGGAGGACTCCGCAGCCAAGTGCACTGGTGTGTCCATACCTGAGTAGCAAAGACTCGATTCGCGGACAACCAGACGCGTGGACCCGCGTTCTCAGCGCCAAGTGCGCTCTGGGCTGCCCAGCCTTTTATGCGCGGCCGGAACCAAGACGCGCATGGCGCGGGGGGAGCGGATGAGCGAAGCGGCCGGGTCCACTGCGCCTGAGACGGGGGAACTGGACCGGCCGGGTCTATGAGTCTGCACACGGCTGGGGGAGACGCGCAGCCGCCGGCCCAGATCACTGATAGGCCTGCGGGGGGGTAGTGTGGGCGCTACGGACTCTGCGCGCGACTCTGTCTCGGAGCGCTTGAGGGGCGGTTGGAGTCGGGCATGGCCTGGAGCCAGGAGGTGCTGCTGCTGCTGCCTCTGATACTCGGGCTGCTGGCTACCCCTGCCCACGTCTCCCTGGACTACCAGTACTTCGGCCAACAGGGTGAAGGTGACACCTGGGAGCAGCTGAGGCAGCAGCGACAAAAGGGTAACCTACAAGTGGCCAGGATGGTGCTGGAAGGTGCCTCGTTGCCCTACTTCGCCAGCTAGCTACAAACACTGTCCTCCAAGGGACTTCAAATCTCTGCCTATCCCTGCACTGGGCAGCATCTCCTTAGGCTGGTTACTTTTATCTGAGGCTCAGTTTATTACTCATCTATAAATTGAAAAAAAAAAATACTGCCTTTAAGCTGCTCACTGGGGAAGAGGGGGTGGTGACAGGCAATAAAAACCCGCCAAAGGGGACATCTCCATAAACTCATGGATAGGTGCTAGGAAAGGCTCAGACAGAATGAAGGGGGTGGATCAGCTTGCAGAGTCAGAGAGGCCAGGCCAAAGAAGATAGGCAACGCTTGCAACAGGAATGACAAGCAAAAGCCCCAAATGAAAAGATCTGATGAAACAGTGTACCAGGGAGAGGGAACAGTAAGTGCCAAGGCCAAAAGGCCTGACAGAGGAATGGAAAGAAGCCAGTAAAGTGTGGCAGAGACCTAATGAGATGGGACATAAGGTCTCAAGGCTTTATCAGCCGTGAAGTTAGGATAACACTTGTCTGGGAGTAGGAGAGATTCAGTAAACAGTACTGTAAAGGGCTTCCAGTGAGTGCTCAATAAGTTATAGCTGATTTAAAAGTGATCATAATTGTTTTTGTTTTACATGCTAGCACAGTGCCAGGGGATTTAAGGACCTGTATTATGTTAATTGTGTTATTTAATCTACCACCTGACAGCCCTGTTGGTCAAATGGCTGCTGGATAGGCCAAGATCATGTCTCTGAAGACAGGAGTCTGCTTTGGGTGGTGGGCACCACGGGTGTTCTGCCCCACTCCCAAATGGGCAGGCTGGCATAGATTGGAAGTGTCAATTTGCAATCCCTCTAGGCCAGTCACCAGATGTGTGAGCTTGGAAGGGTAGCTTACTCTCTCTAGATCTGTTTTCCACCTGAGACTAATGGAAAGATTAAAATGGGATAAGCTGTGGCAGGTGCTGGCACGGAGGCAAAGTTCAGCAAATATGACCTGTTAGTAGTATGTTTGGCCTTTTTTCCTAGGAAGGTCCTTTCCATCCTCTTCATATGGGTCTTCATCTAGGCCTTCTATTTCTAGATGTGGAGAACTCCATCCTTGGCCCGTGGGGAAAGTGGCGCTGTCTCTGTGACTTGGGCAAGCAGGAGCGCAGCCGGGAGGTGCTAGGCACAGCTCCGGGACCTGTGTTCATGGACCGCGAGAACCTGATCCAGGTACGGCGCTGTCGGCAACAAGACTGTACATCGTGCAAGCCAATGGACTGCGACTGGAGGCCTTGAGCCCGGGTGAGAGACTGGCGCAGAGGAGGCTGGTCTGGTCGACAGGCAGGTCTCTGGCCAGGAGTCCCGGCTGGGCGGGGAAAGAGGAAAAGCAGTGGGCGGCGCCTGTGGCTCAGTGAGTAGGGGGCCGACCCCATATACCGAGGGTGTTGGGTTCAAACCTGACCCGGGCCACAACAACAACAAAAATAGCCGGGTGTTGTGGCGGGTGCCTGTAGTCCCAGCTATGCGGGAGGCTGAGGCGAGAGAATCACCTAAGCCCAAGAGCTGGAGTTTGCTGTGAGCTGTGATGGCACAGCATTCTACTGAGGGTGACAAAGTGAGACTCTGTCTCTTAAAAATAGAAAAAAAAAAAACGAGGAAGAGCGGTGGGGTGTGAGGCAAGTATGGGAAAGGAACAAACGGGACCTTAAATCTAGGTAGGACTTGAGGCTGGTGAGGGAGGAGCAAATTGAGTCAAGAGACGTGAGCCCCTTCCTTTATCCAATATCTGGGGATAAAGGAAGAAAAGGAGAGGGCAGGGAAGCGGAAACGGAGATGGAGGAATTGGGACCCTGAGAGAGGGGGCGTGAGCCTGATGATGGGCTGAAACCCACAAGCAGAAAACTTGAGCTCCGCTGAATTCAGGGATTCCTCCTCAGGTTAGAGGAGTGGAAAGGTCTGGGGAGCGTGAGCCTCCGAAAGATGAGGAGAGTGGGAGTAAGATGTAGGGGTGAGGATTGGATGAAACCTGAGTTGAGAGGAATGAGATGCATGGTGGTGGACGGAGACCCCAGCTGAAGTCTGCGAAAGTCTGGAATCTCCACTGCAGGTAAGGGACGCTTGGCCCCAAGGAGACTGGGTTGCAAGCATAATCCTGGTGGGGTTGGGAGTCCGAAGGAGCGACCAGGGGAAGAAGTTTGGGCCTGAGTCCAGTGGAAGCGGGGTACCTAGTCCAGGGGGCTTAAATGAGTGGAGGGGCAGCGACCGTGAGTAAAGGGCCAGAACCCAGGTTCCGAACAGGGACCCAAGGAAAGGAGACCAGTGTACTGAGAGTGTAGCGATATTCGACCTTCTAGGCCCCCCTACAGTGGAGTTTGAGTCCGGTTTCATTCCCTGTCTTCCCAACAGCCTCGGCTGTTGGGGCCCCAGGGACTCCGGGGCTAACTTTGCAGCGACCCCGCCCACCCAGGTCCGCGGAGGCAGCTTCCGACCGCCGCCATTGCAGACTACAAGTCCCAGGAGGCAGCGCGGTAGTGTCTGCTCAAACGAAGAAGACGGCGGGAGAGTCTAGGGCGTATGTGCTCGCTGATTGGTCTAGAACAAGCGCAGCCGCGGGTCCCGCGGAAAACGCGCGCCGGGACCCGCTTCGGTAGACCTTGTTTCTGCAGCTGGGGGCGGCATGGATTTCAGCGAGCTGGAGAATGACAATACCGGCCGCTGTCGCCTGAATTCGCCGGTGCCCTTAGTGTGCCTCAAGGAGGCTTGCGTCCTGGGCGTCGATGAAGCGGGCCGGGGTCCTGTGTTGGGTGCGTCCCCAGGGCCAGGGGGAGGGTCGTGTTAGGGGGAAAGCAAGTAGCACAGAAATGGGAGGCAGGGGAAGGGAGGTTAGCAGTGATGCCCATTACTTCAGGGGTGGCAGCTTTTATGGGCTTACTGGTTGAACTCTCACTCCCGGAAATTTGATGCCCCTCCCCTCCAGGCCCAATGGTCTATGCCATCTGTTATTGCCCTCTGTCCCACCTCGCAGATCTGGAAGCCCTGAAAGTGGCAGGTAAATCTGGGGAAGGGGGTTCTGGGCATGCGCAGAGGCAAATGAGAACTGGAGGGGACAGGAACTAGGAGCTGCACCCCTTCTCTCTCAACCTTCCTCCCAGACTCAAAAACTCTGTCGGAGAGTGAGCGGAACAGGCTCTTTGCGAAAATGGAGGAAGACAGGGACTTTGTGGGCTGGGCACTGGATGTGCTGTCTCCAAACCTCATCTCTACCAGCATGCTTGGCCGGTGAGGGGTTTCTGGGAGGAGCCGTGGGAAGGGGCAGCTAGCATGGGCTGCGCTGGCTCTCCGCTTAGAATGGGGTTAACGGGGCTCTGTTTCCACTCCAGGGTCAAATACAACCTGAACTCCCTGTCCCATGATACAGCTACTGCATTGATACAGTATGCCTTGGACCAGGGCGTGAAAGTCTCCCAGGTGAGCTAACTCTTGGATTTCCTCCATTCGATCATCACAGGATAAAATAGCAAAAAAGCACGATGAGCAGATTTGGAGTCAGATACTTCTGGAATGTCTCAGGCATATTCATTGCTGTTGTTGATTTCTTATTCCTGTGAGTCCCACCAAGGACCATGGTGGAGCCTGCAGCCCTATCTCCGTCTAATCTCTACCCATATCCTAAAGGCTAAGCATTCTGAAAAAATCTCTCATCTCTCTACCTCCCCACAGCCTCTGTCCTAGCAGGGCATCCCCTTCTCCCTGGATGCCCACCCAGCTTCCTCTCTGCCCCCACCCAGCCCCAACCCATTCAATCTGCTCCTCCCACAGCTGCAGACGGTTATATGTGTGTGTGTGTGTGTGTGTGTGTGTGTGT